TTTTTTTTTTTTGGCCCCAAATTTCGGGGCATGGGGGTGGCCCCGAAACTACTCGAAAAAAGACTTTGGGGCGGATGCGCAGTCGCCGATTTTGATGTGGTGTGGATGTTCGTAGGGGGCACACCGACTGTACATTTTATGAAAGTTCAGTCCCTGGTACAGCCCGCGTACCCCCTCTTGAGAGTTCAGTTCGGGACTGAAGCAGGAAGAAGCAAGAACACCGACCGACCGATCGACCTCTATCTGGTTGGTGCGTGACTGAAGGACTGCGCGCCATCAGCATCCCGCCAGGATCGACCTCCAAAAATCACTCTCGGCTTGGTAGAGCTGTTGGAACAGATCCCTCCCACCCACGAGGGAAACTCGCAACGGAGCGTGGGGCTTTCGGATCGATCCACAGGCTGCTGCTGCATCTAGGCTGGCCATTTTGTCCTTCGCTGGCTCTCTCTCGGCCGGAAAAAATCGGTGAGTGAAAATTTCCATGAGATTCTTCAAGCAGCCGGGGCCAGCCGACCGGCCTGCCTGGATCGCGGCGGCGCCCGAGCCGTAGGGCCGCCTCAATCCCACCGGCATTTGGCCCTTGCCCCTGTCCTCCTCCCACGGGTACACCCCTCTCTCTCTCGCTTTGTAGAGCGTGCGCGCACAGACCTACACCATCCAACGGCAAAACCTGCGCGCGGACGATTTGTTTCGGGCGGTGCATCTGGGCCCCCTCGAGGGAAATCGCGCGCTTGCGGCCGCGCCAGGGCCGACATCATCGCGCGCGCGGCATCTCCCGGGGGCTATCCAAGTCACGAAGGTCTGCTGGAAAGTTGTTGCCCGGTTGGTGCCCGTTTGCTCGAGCCGTTGCAAGCCTGCTGCCTTGCTGTGCCGCGTGCTCTCCTCATCGCCCGTGTTGGTTGGTTGCGGCTGAAACCAAAAGGCGGAGTGTTCTTCGTAAAGAATCAGGGTCGAGAGTCGAGAACTAAGAGACCTACAACAAGAGGAGTGTGTGTGTCTGTGTGTGTGTGTGTGTGTGTTTGCCGACAGGATGGGTGGCTAGTGCTGCAAGTTTGCCTACCTTGGAATCCCCTTGCCATCCACTCCCAAACCGGTCGGTTGGGGTATCCTGCGAAAGCAAACCTGCTGCATACCCTTGCCGCAACAACAGCAGCAGCTGTTGTGGTCATACCAGTCAAATAGTCTCAACATGTTTGGAAAACGGCGCATCTTCGCGACTGGGGTCATCTGTTTCGTCGATTCCTCCTTGAGAAAGAGACGGGGAATTGAATTAACCCCGAGGCGATCCCGCGATGTTGCACCGACAAGAAGACCGCCCAGCGTTCTCGCAGCACCAACACTGTCGACTGCTGTGTAGGAGAGGAGCGACCGACCGCACGGTATCACATTTTGTTCACTGGATACGATTTGCGGCCCAACAACATGGGTGCACTTCAGACTTGCGTTCTGGTCCCTCTTTGCATATGTCGGAGGCACAGAGAGAGGGGGGGGGAGGTGGACCGTGGCGATTGACGCGCACGATCCCGGCCGGTGAATGGTACTTCTAGCTTTTTACGTGGTATCTCGTTGCGGACAGACTCAGCAGCAGGGATCGCTGCCCTCGTTTAGATGTCTAGGGCATGGTGGCCGCCCACAACTGCATCGTGACCCCGAACGATGTCGGGGTGCAAAGGAGGTCAACGAAGTCAACGATCAATCTCGTAGCCAAGCCAATTTACTATTTCTATTTCGCTTGACTCGAAAAAAATCACGGCGAAAAGCGGTGGCTCGACGACAGCAGGCAAGCAGTGAGTACCAAGCGTGGCCAAGCAGGAAGAGGCAACCAAGGACAAAATCATGGCACACACGCACACACCATATAAGTTACTGGTAGGGCAAGGACGGATCAATCCTTTAAGTAGGTTTTACTCGCTCGACCAATGGCGTTCCCAGCATTTTTCGGCTCTCTGTCGGATAGATAAACAAATATCCTGGTCTTCAACGTTATCGACGCGATTATATTGGACACAAGTAACCGTTGGATGGTCACCCGTTGTGACGAGAAAATTCAAATATACTTACATACCCACACATATCACAGAATAGTCTACACGTACATTGTCCCCAATGACCCGTCGACACTCTTTCCAAGACAATTGGTTTGGCATCCCCAGGCTCTTATGCGCATTTGCAGTTTGTAAGTGGATGATGAACACCGTGGGGTCAGGAACGATGCAACTGATCATGGCGGCCAGGTGCCCGGACTCCCGGTGCACGGATGGGTTCACCGAGACCGATAGATCGACCACTTGCTGTAGTCCAGTGCTGCTGTAGGCAGCCCCTCTGGTGGATATTTTGATGCGGATCTTGTTGACGAGTCGCCGTATTTGATAGCGAGAGAGATACTACTACATTCTGCTGTAGCGTTTAGGCACGGAATGTAAGTACATAGTGAGTGTACAACCAAGCTCTCGTCGGGATTTGAAGGGAGGAGAGCTGCTGGAAATCGCGACAGTCTTGTCCGTCATTCATCACGAAAGTGTTTCGTGTGCAGACGCAGCCGAGTAATTGTTTCACGTGTCCAGGCGGGGGGTGATATGGTACATGGTACGACGTTTGGGGAGAGAATCCGTTGCACTTTTTTTTTTCATTTTCTGGGACCCATTCCGTGGATTTTTCCGTGAAGAAAAATGCTGGTTTCGTTCATCATGCGCATGTTCAACTCTGGTACCTTGGCAACATCCCCATGGTAGACATGGATGTTGGACTAGACTAGTCAGCGCTGACTGTTGTACAATTAGTGTTGGTAAAAACTGGGGTTCTTTCTTCCAAGGGCCCGATAGAGCTACTGCTGTTATACTTGTAGTGGAACTGCCGATATAGTTGCATCAACATCTCTTGTCACACTCCCAACCCGACGCAATGTATGTTGTGGCGTTTTGCCACTATAGAGGACGGGGCCCTCAATACATTGTAGGGGGGGCGATATCAAAGGCCGCAAAGTGCGACGAGACTTGGCCGGCCTTGCATATAATCGGTCCTGTGTTAGACCGGTACAGTACCGGCCTTTTTGAAGATTTTCTTGTAGGCCATACGAAGCGCCACGTGTGCTGTACGTAAGTTTGACTCGGTGCTTTGCGATCACGTTCATTTCATGCTGAACATCCAACCTTTTGTCATCTCTCAGGTATATGGTATGATACATGTCCAACCGGTAAGAAAATGTGATTCCGTCAGACACACATGAGTCTCCCAATGATGGGAGAAAAACTACATGAGTACTATTTTGTAATGAAGAATAGGGAACAGTCATCAAGCAGATCCCCCCGTTTCGCAGAAAAATACGGTAACAAGCCCGTACGCATTTATGTAGTCTAAGAGGCAAGCACCTGACGTACATCATAGGGCGAACAGGTGAAGCGCGAAACACATTCGACGGCTCAAGCCCGCACGCGGGAGTTCATACTTCCTCCCAACAATACGCCCCCACTCAAAAACGGGTAGGCAAATGACAATACACCCCTTGCTTGTTGTTTTGCAACCCCAAAGTAACAGCCGACCAGCACACAGACAGCAGCACCATGCCTTCATTCCTGCGATGCTTCCGAGAAACGACTCAAACGGCACGTGTAACGGCACGGACTGTCCAATCCTGACAAACCCTCCTTGGAAAAAACGAGGCCACCACCGACACAGCAAACCCTACCATGGCTCCTCCCATGAGCTCGTCACATGTTTGGAAAATCCCTAATCCCACCTGCCGCGTGGGATGTACGGCATGCGCTGCGATCATCGCCGTCTTAGCCCTCTGCAGAAAGATAGCGGTCTTAGCACTGCCGCTGTCGAAATCAGCGTCGTCACTTCTACGGAGACCGGCCTTTTGGGGGGCAGGCGGGGGGGCGTAACCGGCCTTACATAGGGGGTGCCTGATATACTGCCGCCCTTCGCCACCGGCCTTTCATCGGGCCAAGTCTGAGCCAAGCGATTTCGCCGACCTTATGTCGGGCAGCCGCCTTATATAGGGCCCCCTACTGAAGTGGTTTTTGGAGACCTCACACCCCCAATAGTGGCAATTCGAAACCGGAGCTCCACGCCTCCTGCGCACTGCGCACCCACACACACCACAGCCAATAGTCAAAATTGGGATTTTAGTTGTGGCGGCGACGATATGAGGGTGGTCGTGATGTGGAGGGTCCATCTTGAAGTATCGAAGAAGGAAAGGGAAGGAAAAGCGAGGATGCAAGCGATGATGGAGAGCGAGAGCTTTGAGCCAGAAGGATTGCCACAATACCAACGCCGCAGGATTAGAGAGGAGTGGCAAGAAAAAAAGTGGTCATATTGCCGAGAGTGGTGGTGAATGTAAGGAGAATGATGACCGCACTCCGAAACGAACACGTGTGTGTGGGCAATGTAGCAGCCTTGGTGAACACGTGCAGTTTTCTTCTGCTGCTGTTGTACCGTTTCTTGCTTCAATCCGGAGAGTAGCGTGGCCTCCCCAATGACGCCCTCACAAGAAGGGTCCCAGATCATGGCCTTGAGAACCATTTATTTTTTCAACCGCACAGAGACTCAAGTGCTTTCATTGGTACGCCGGTTAGGTCGGTGCTATAAGTTCAACGAGTCACACAGAAGTATGGGCGCCACATGTATCATGCCAGCAACTGTGTGTGGACCCCTGTAGGCGCAAACCATTTTTGTGACGGCGGTTGGGGTTGATGCGCCCTGTGGGGAGGATGTTCGACATTTGCTGCTTGGTTTCTCCAGTTGATTCCTCGCGTACTACGATGTTGTCAACGATTTCTTAAGTGTGCGATGTGTTGAACTGTTGTGTTGAATCCAACAACCCATCCTACGTGGGGGCCGCCGGAGCTTGCGTGACTTTACTGCCGTGTGGTGTGCTTAGTTGTTCTCGAGTTGTCTATACAAAATCATCGCTATCTAGCGCTTTGACGAGCAAATATTATTTCTGTTGTGGTGGCCCGAGATCGACGAGGCCTCGTCATGTGGATATACAACATCTACTGTGTGTTCGTTATGAAATAAATGCTGGACCACAAAGGGTTAACATAGGCTAGTAGTACAATGCATACAAAGTGATAAATCCGATGAACAACTGTCGGTATATTGTGCATCTCAAAGCCTTGTCTCCTCAATAGTGGCCAAATCTTAAATATTGGGGTGCCAATATTGGCAAATGCCACTATGACGGATTAGTGGTGTCATACTGCCCTGAATAGTGGCATGATGGTGGTCTGGCCATAGGTCCCATGGGTCCCATAGGCCCCACTATATCGGACTGCCCACTCTTGTGTAGGGGACATGAACCATGAACCATGACCCATGAACCGAGCTCGCAAAGGTGCCCAAGTTATTAGATTTCGAGTTTTGCGGAGCTATTGTTGTTTGTTGTTGTTGTTTCTCACATTAGCTCTATAGTCCACAAAAAATGGGGAGCCCGTGGTCTCAAAACCCGGCACATACGACGCCGCGAGAAATTAAAAAAACAAAAATAGGGTACAAACCACTCGGAAAAAGAAAACAAAATGATAGAAAGAAAGGAACAGGTTTCGCACCGACCGTTCGAGAAAAGAGCCCTCGGACATCGATCAAAATAAAACAAGACAAAAATAACAGAAAAATAAAGGAGGACGCTTCCCACACCCGCCGAAAGAAAAAATCAAAGGGTAACGTACCAGCACCAGGGCATGGGAGTAACGGAGCAAACAGGGCAAAGAGGCGGCAGATGGGCAGACAGCCAGACGTACAAAAACAAAGGCAACAGCAAAGCGAGATCAAGGTACCCAACACAGCTATGTCAAGTATCGATTTCTTCATTTACTGCCAAGTTCTCCAAGTGCTTTGATAGCGCTAAATGTAGTCTAGGTTTTGATTCCGGCCGCAATAAAATCTAGCTATGTCATTCAGCCTTCGAACCCACGACCAACTTTTGTAGAAGACAAAATCACCCCGTTGCCTAGTCAGCGAAGACTATTAATGGCCTCATTGTGTTGTTTCGGCTTTGTAGATGAGAGAGAGACTCAGACCGACCGATGCACAGAACCGGTGGGCGGCTCCTTTGAAGAGAACAAGCGCCGGCAAGCGAGGAGTGTCGATGGCCGGACCACTTTTGTTGTATCCACTATGCCCTCGCAAAGTTGATTGAGTACATCGAATCAGTCTTCCCAATGCCAATCGATCATGCGCGGTTGATTGGTGGATTTCGGGTGGGCAGTGAACGTTGCCGTTTCCAGCCGTATCGGAGGGTGCCTCGAGGTTATTTTCGAGATTTCTCGAGAATGAGGGTGAAAATGAGGAGCTTTCCCTGGAGTGAACTCCTACTGTGCAACTGCCTGTGCATGTTGTTGCTGCACGTCTTGCGCCACGTGTGTGGGTCCTGCGTGATAAAACTCCGGTGTCTGTCTGTCCTTCCTGTATCGCCCATGGCGCGGAGCGTAGGGGGCCAAAGCTTGTATTTATAATAATAGATGGTTTTCAATGCTTCGAACGAGCCAACGTGTCCTTTTCCCTTCCCTTGCTGTGCAACAACGCACCACCAGAGCTACATACCACGTGCCTTCGCGCGTCCATCTTTAACTGAACATCGCTGCCCCCCTCGCTCCTTCAATTCCGTCCATCCCCCAGCTGACAGGAGCGATCAAGAAACCGACGCCATTTCATATCCCCATCCTGGCGCAAAACTGGCACCCTCACCATTCGTCTGCGGTCCCCCCCTTATTTTCGGAGGGTATCACGGACGACAGCACCACCACCAGCATCGCCCTCGCTACAAAAATACTCGACCGTCAGTCCGACGGGCGGGGGCGACGAGGGGGGGTAGACGATGGTGAAGTCGTCGGGGGGCCGTTGGAAGGGAAGTGGGTCGGGGTCGGCACCCTCTTCTCCGACGCGGCGGCGAAAGAAGGGGGGCAAGAGGGGCAGGCGTCTTTGCCACATGGAGGGGTGCACGCTGTGCCCGTCTTTCGGGTTCGAGGGAGACGTGGCAGTGTCGTGCTCGCACCACAAGGAAGACGGTGCGTTGTTTTGTTCTTCTCTTCCTTTTTTACTGTCATTTTGTTCTTTTGTTCTTTTCTGCTTTTGTTCCTTTCTTCTTTTCTTCTATAAGTGGCAATAGTTCCGTTCATTCGTTGTCCCGCGACAGTAGAAGTGGTTCCTTCGTCGTCCATTTGTGTCATCTCTAAGTTTGTTAAGGCAATAGGTGCTCTCTCTCACACACACACACTGTGTGCGTTTGTGTCTCAGTAAGGCGTTATTGGTGGGGAGTAAGGTGGCGGACATGCTGGGGGGGACGCTAAACTTGCTAAACTCTCTTGCCTGCTGCCTGCAAGCGACTCCGTTCTACCAATGTGACTCATCTATGAGTCTTGTAGGTCACCCCATGTATGTAGCGCCTGTGCCGACAACTCAGACTAACAGTGTCATGCTGCTGCTCGTGCCTCCTCGCGTGTTGCCATTGCGGCTCGCTCTCGCGGCGATCATCACGATCATCACAGGTATGCGCAACCTGACGGCGCGTCGCTGCCAGCACAATGGCTGCTTCACGGTGGCCAACTTTGGATTCCCGGGCGACAAGCCTGGATACTGCGCGGCCCACAGCACAGAAGGTATGCGTATACGTGCGTCCTGGTGTAGTCAATGGTGGCGTTTGTTTGCCGTACGCGATGCAGTTTTGGACGAGTCATGTACGCTGTCACTACGAGGCTTCGATGTGCATTCCGCGGCAACGCATGTTGTTGCCACTGCAACCCCAGCCCCATATTGCCTGAGGTCCCTGTCATTGACAGTAAACACAGTCACAGTCAAGTGAGAATGTTGTCGTGGGCGCCGATACATTTCTGAAGCCGCATGCCGCTCTCCGCCGCTGTTTTGCTTTGTGTGTGCAGGCATGGTGAATCGCAACAAGCCCCGCGGCTCCGAGGGCATGCTATCCGGTATGACCGTCTCGCGAAGCTCTCGCCGCGCTACCAAGGCCAGCATCGCCTCTTCCTACGCCACGGGAGGGTCTGAATCCGCCGCAGCATCCGGAGCACCGACGGCGGCTGCTGCTGGTGCCGCTGCCGCTGTTGCTACCACTGAGGGCAGCGGTGGCCTGGCGAGGAATCAAGCCTCCTCCGGCGGTAAAGAAGTTCTCACGCGGACGGCGGTTTCGGGGGACGTTGGGCTGGGCCGCCACCGGGCTTTCGGCAACGGTGCAGAGACTGACGCTGCCGTTGCACCCGCGGTAGCGGGCCGGGCGCGTGCCAGCGGCTCGCGCCGGAGGGGAAGCTACAGGGACAACACCAGTTCGGACGGCGACGAGAAAGCCGAGCTCGCAAAGTCCTTTTTCGGCGGCGGTAACCACAGCAACGTCACCGGGGGGGGCAGCTTTAAGAGCGCCAAGGCCCAAGCGCAGGAAGCGGCGGCGGCGCCTGTGCCCCCGCCCCCGGTAGCGTTCATCGCTCGGGGAGACGGCGTCGAGGCCGCCAACGCCCGGTCACATGCGGCGAGGGCGGGCGGCGGCGGCGGTGGCGGCGGTGGCGGCAGGCGGCCGCGGGGTGACAGCAAGGGGCTCGGGTCCGCGACCATAACCGCCGGCGTTTTGCAGCATCAGGAGGCGTCTATGCCCGTCTCTCGTGGCAAAGGCATGCTGCCCGTCGTGGAGACAGCCGGCGGCGGCGGCGGCAGCGGCAGGGTGGCGGTAGATGTCAGCTTCTGCGGGGATACGCGGATGGACGGGTCCTTCCTGATGGACGGCGGGTCCTTCGGGGAGACGAGCTTTGGGGCGGGGGGCGCGAGCTTGGGGGCGGGCGTGGACACCGGGCGGGCGGAGCTGCGCAGCATCCTGCTGGGGGACGCAGGGGACACGCCAGAAGTGCGGGATAGCGTAGCGGACGGAGGCTTTAGCTTCGCAGTTCCAAGCAGCAGCGCAAGGGTCGCTAGACCATCACCCGGCGTTCAGTCTATACATGAGGCTTCGCGGCCGGCTGGAGGGCTAAGGTTTGGCCGTGATTCTGCGGCGTCGGGGGGCGGGGAGCATGCGGGTGCCAGATCCTCCTTCGAGAGCGGCGGCTCCCTCGCGAGCGGGGGTGGGACGGCGCCGGCGCCGGCGCCCGCGGCGGGAGTGTTCGTTGACTTCGGGCTTGACCACCTGCCGGAGCTAAGCAGCAACGACTTCGCCGGCCTTCGCGGCATGGAGACCGGCGTCGGGGCCAACCATCTTCCCAGAGTGACGATACAGCAGCACCAGCAGCGCACCGCTAGCCGCGGGTCGTACGACCTCGCGGGGGCGGCAGCGCCGGCGCCGGCGGCGGAGTTCTTCTCGAGCTGTGAAGGCGTTCGTCTCGGGAGCGACTCGTCGGCGTCGGCAGCAGCGGCGGTGCTGGCGGCGTCCAGCGTTGTGAGCGACGACGTACCTTCCGAAGCTTTCTCCTCCCCCGACGCTTCTTCGGTGTCCTTCGCGGCGGAACCCCCTCGTGCTGCCGCCGCTGCCGCTGAGTCCCGCCCGCCGTCGTCGAACGGCGGCGACGCCCTAATGGCGACGGCGGCGGCGACCAGGATGATGATGCCGGGCGAGGAGGCGTGGTGGGAGGTCCTAGAAGGGGAGGAGTTCGTGGCCATGCCGGAGCCCACCTGGGGGGGGGTAGGAGGCCTGGACACGCAGAGCATGATGGAGGAGTCGCTTCGGGCCAACCCCCGCGGATGCGGATGGAGGAGCAACGGCGGCGGCGGCGGCGGCGGCAGCGGCCGCGGGGGCGTCGAAACCAATAGAGGCGTGGCCGAGAGCGGTCGTAGTCCCCACGGAGACGGCGGCAGAACGGTCACGTCCCACGCCGCCACAACTAGGTCGTTGTCGCTCGATTCTTCCTCCATTGCAGCGGCGACGGCGGCGGCAGGCCTCGGTGGAGTCTTGGTCATGCCGGGCGACGAGGGTTTTTCAGGAGACATGAGCGGTAGAGACAGCTGTGGCCGTAACGGAGTCGTCCATGGTATCAGCGGCGGCGGCAGTGGGGGTCGGCTGTGTCCCTCCTCTAAGAAGTTTGCTGCGTCGGTTGGAGGTGAGCTGTGTCCCCGCTAGCGCGGCATGCTGCATAACAACGCTGAAAGGAGATGGGATGGGGAGGGTTGGCTTGGTGGCGTCCCGCTGTGAAGCGCGGTGTTGTGCTGTGGACAGATACCGTAGAGGTTCCAGGTTGTGCTCTCTTTCTTGCTGGGTAGCGCTGGTGGTTGATAACTGCTTGTGCTCGTTGTGTGGAGGAGTCAAGCTTCGTGTGTCTGGCCTTGCCGGTAGTGGCTTGGTGGCGAGCTCAAGGAAGCAGTGGCATCGCTAGTGTAGCATCCTGACCAGAGCCCCCTGGGTGGGGAAGTTTTTAAGCCACCTTTCGTCCGTGCCTTTTGTGGCACCGGGAGTTCATCGCTTGAGCCCAAAATCACCATCTCGTTGACATTGACCCCCGCCGCACCCTCTCCCGCATCCCGTCGCGCCAGACGCACGTGTGGCATTCTCGACCTCTCCGTTCATGCCCGATGCCCCCCCCGCCGCCTCTCGCGCGATGAAGCCGTCGTCCCGCGAGCTCGGATCAGCATCAACAACATCGACGTCACCCTCCGGTAGCGTTTTCTCGCCCGCGGCTTCCTCCTCGCCAAACGGCGTCTACCCTACCGGCTTCGGCCTGGCCGTGCACAGCCAGGTCCCGCTTCCTCACGGCGGCGCCGGTCTGCGCTCGGCCGGGCAGGGGTCTGCTCATGAAAACGGCGGTTTGAGCAAGGCGTGGGTGCCCGGAGACATGTGGGCAACGACGGCGACGACGACGACAAGCGGGGACGCGATGAGCCCTTCCAAGTGCCTGTCGCTCAGTCCCGCCAAGGCAGTGACGGTCATGGCCGCTAGCCCCTCCTCGTCCTCGTGAGTAACTGACCGTAGCCGCGTTTCTCGCAACCTCTTGCTTGGTTGGAGGGAGGCGTGTGCGTCACACACAGCTCGCTGCCTAGACTAAGGAGTCATGAGGGCCCGATTGCTCCACGACCAAGAGGCTGTGAAAGCCGACCGACGCGTTCGTGCGATGACCCAGCTGTGCTTTCTAAGCGGGCGTGTTGATTGAGTTTTCTTGTTGATGGTCTCATCGGACAGGCACACAATTCCCCACTAATGGAAAGCCGGGTGGTGACCTTTTCACCCGACGCAGCAGCACGTAGCCCCCCCCACCGCCCGCCCCCCCGGTGTTTGCCATCGGGGTTGGGTTTTCGTCGCCTGTCAACGACGTTGTACAACAAGCCAATTCACTTCGTGAACTCGGCAACCAGGTACCGTTTTGTTTTTACCGCCGTTTTTTTTTGGCAGTATCCATAGTGGTGGTCGAGTAGATCATGTTGTGCGGGGTGGAGAACCCTCACTCCGCGCAAGGGGGATGATCGCACCACGTTGTGTTAAAATGGTCAAGCACCCTCGAGGCAGTTACACAGTGCTTACAACTGTCTCTGGAAGTGGAAGCACCAGAAATTAAATTAATTCATACGCAGCTGTCATCCGTACGCAAGGAAGTAAGCACAAGATGCCGAACACCCTTAGCAGGATGCAGCGCACCCTTCATGCGACTCGCCGAATATCTCACGGCGCTTCGCGCTTGGTGATGTGAGAGCCTGGTCCGGTGAGAACCCGGCGTGCTCCGTCCCGGCTTTGTAGGGATGCGAGGTCAATGGTCTAACGACACGGCATGCACGACTACGAGTGCCCCCCCCCCACCGCTTGGTGGCTGTACCCCCTTTCAACCTCATCCCACAAGCCTGCTTTGCGTAGTCACTGGTCCAACAGCTAAGGTATGCAAAACATAAGAGTACCCCTTCCCCCCGTGTGTCCGCTTCGCGGGCTGTAACCCTTTTCAACCTCATCCCGCAGGCCTGCTCTGTCCATGCTCGCCCAGTCAACGCCCCCGTGGGGTGCGGGCCCGCTGTGCTCCCCTCAGCAGACACGGGCAGCGAGCAGGGCCTAGCCTGGCCAGGCTAGCACGGAAGGGCCTGAACAGTACCGGTGGCGGAGGGAAGGAGGGAGGGAGGTTCATGGCCGGGGACGCACAGACATCAAGTGTACAGCCGCTGGTGTTCACCATGCCGGCCGTTCACGGCCTCGCAGGCTTGCACATGTCGGGTGGCGTTTGCGGACCAAGGTGTAACGGGGTCTGGTACCCTTTTTTTTTTTTTGCCTGTCTTCTTCAACCTTGTCTTGGTGAGTGACTGTCCCCATCGATCGTCGCATTTTTGCGCTAGAGTTAGGATTGGCATCAAGCTCGGCATCAACCGAGCCAAAGCGATGCTATTCACACGATTGGTGCTTCCTAGAGTTGGCGGTGATGTTCGCGGGGCTTGTGAGCTGCGGTGGCACCAGCAGCCAGTGTCCCAAGGCGGGAGGCAGTCGGGCGGTGCGACGTATCGGTGTGTGGGTGTGCGTGTGTTTGGAAGGGGGTTGACTCACTTGCGTCAGTTCAACGAGTGTGCGTGCTTGCAGTGCGGCGAGGTGCCGAGTGCAGGGTATGATCCGCAAACGCCTCTCGAACAATATTAGTAAGGCGCCTTGTCGTCGCCGATGTTGTTGCTCCAGTTGCTGCGGCGGCAGCAGAGCACACGTTGGTAGAAAAATACCCATACGGGGACGTAAGCCGTAAGTTGTGTGGTTCCTTGTCTGTGTGTTCGATCTGATGGTGTTCAAGTAAAGGCCCACGTCCTTGGCCTGTCTTCTTTGGTTTGGTTTGGTTTGGTTTGGTTTGGTTTTGGTGGGGCTTGTCCCTTCGAGGTAGTATGGGGCGGGTTGCGTCTCGCTGCTCCTTTTCTCGCCCCCGGGGTCTGTGCTGTGCCGTGCGGCACCATGATTGCTGCACGCGAAAATTTATTGATTGATGGTGTTGTCCCTTGTTCTGTATGGTGATCTGTGGCTTGTTTCGACGCTTCGCTTGGAGTTATCATACGTGAGATTTACCATACCATACCACGAGATGGAACTAAAGTTGGTTTTATAGGACCCATTCTAACGATAGGTGTAGTCGTCACCAGAAAATCGCATAGCGTCCGGTGAATGTTGAGTCAGTCTCTCGCGATGCCGCACCATGTGGTTAGATTGGGGTTGGCCGCTACTGCTGTACCGTGCATTTTTTCCCTCAGATTTTCATAATGAAAGAATTTTCATGATGAAAGGAGCGCTGGAAGAGTGCCCTAGCGACGGTTTTTAAGCGTGACGCACGTACGCGCGTTATGCAGCCAAGTACAGTATTTCGTAGTAGCTGAAGCGAGCTACCTTTTCTCGTTTCTTTTTTTTATAAAAAAAAACACATTAGGCTCGCTCACCCCTTGTTATCCTTGGGTGTTCCTACGTGCCTCGTGGAGCGTGCACGTGACTTGTTTGTAGGTTCAACTCGTGCGAGCAACGCGCTTGGCAAGAAGACAAGCTGGTGCTTGGCTTGTGCATCAGACTACTGCTACTGATGTGTGTGTGAGGCACGTAAATAATGAGCGTCTCGTGGTGGCACCTTTCTCATTTTCCGTATCTTGTGTCCGCCCATCCAGTTGGAGTGGGCCGTCGAGAGAATGATTGATTGTCCAGCGGTGGCGGCTATCCTATCCTGTCCTATCCTGTCCTTTGGTATCCCATCCACAAAAGAGATATTCTCTTGGCTGCATGGATCCGGATTATCCACTTGTGGTGCGGGTGAAGTTGTTGTGCTATCTTTATTTGGTGTCGTTGTTTTGACTGTGTCGTCCGTTGCCTGCGCGCATGCGCCTTTACTGTTACGTGCGTGGTGCTGTCTTTTATTTACTCGTGGGTGGGGTGATTGATTCATTGATTCATGTTTCATTGTTGACCTTTAAGCTTGTTGGGTAGGTGGGTTGGGAGGCGTTCTTTCTTCCGTTGTTTCCGTGGGAGGGAGTGATTGCTGGGATATTTTTCGGTGACAGGGAGGGGTATGTCGTCAGTCGCTGCCGTTTTTGTTCGGGTACTAGTCTATACCTGTGTGTGGGTGGGATAAAAAAACGCTACAAGAGTCCTTGCATATTTTTAAGACGGATGGGCGACAGCGAGCGAGCTTTGGAGAAGAACGAAAACGTGAAGGTATTGTCTACATGTCTACATACCTGTGAACCACTTTTGTTGATGCCCGAACGGGGTCGAGGGGGGTGCAAGACCTCCGAGAATGGGTGGTTAGGTGGCGGCGGTGAAGTTTTTTGCAAATCGATTGGAGAGACGAGCGCCGGTCTTTTTTCTCCGAAAAGCGTCCCCATCTCTCCCACGCAAGTGGAGTGTTTTGTTTTAGTTTTTGTTCCCTTTGTTTCTTGGCGCCGCCGCCCCACGGACCGTGTCAAAGCTTGAGAGCTGTGGTAGCGTGTAGAGAGTTAATATGGCCACAAACATACGTGAGCCTGTGGTAGTAGCTAAAGAGTGAAATGCTGATCCGTAGTGAAGGGCGCGCCGGGGGCACCGCGCAGTGGGTATCAGCTCTCCCGCGAGAGAGAGCAAAACGGTAGCATCCTAGAAGAGCGCGGACATGATTATTCTGCTGCGGAGCTCGTGATAATAAGGAGCGGAGCAGCGAAAGGCTGGGTGTACTTGAAGGGGAGGGTGGAGTGCCTCAAGGGATTTTATTTGGCGTGACAACGCCGAAAATAGTAGTGGGGGGTCGGTTGCAGGTGGTGATGGTGGTTTTGGTGGTGATGGTGGTGGCGTGCCCTCGAACGAACGAACGATTACATGGTTTTGAGTAAGGAGGTGTCTTGCGCTGCGGCGGCGGGCAAACTCACTCCCACTCCCTCTTTTTTTTCTTGCGAATTTGTTAACGTCCCTTCAAACATCATGGAGGCATTCGCGACATGTCAAAAAAAATTGGTATGGTTTACAAAATTCCAAGGTAGACCGCACGGCATACCGCATCGGCACGCATCTTTTGGATGGATATCGGGGGCTGGTTGCGATGATACACACAAAGCGAAGAAGGCAGGCTGGCTCACCGGAGTCGAAGCTGGCTAGGGTGATGGTGATGGGTGGTGGTAGGATAATGGCTGATACGTGGTGGGCGGTATTGTGATGGTTGGAGTTGCATATGGGGAGGCGGGTTGGACGGAGGGGTCGATAGGCGTGCAGACGCCTGGGACAGGGACGGCAGTCAGGCAGTTTTTTTGGTCTTTGTTGTCATGTATCCTTGTTTGGTTGAGCCCTGGGCTGGCTACATATATTGTGCATTGCATGATAGGAGTTTGGGATTGATTCCTTTGCCTTTGATGATGACAAGGGCATGGGGGATGGTCACCATAGTAGGGTAAGACGGGGTATTTAATGTGAAGACAGCAGAATCGCGAAGACTGACAGTAGACTATCAAATCAAGACAACAGTAGCTAGGATTGTTGTGTCTGTCTGTCGGGGCCACAATCTTATGAGAAAGGATCATTCCTATCCATCCAACAACACACATGCGTCTTGAAGTCGCGCACGAATGTTTCGTTGTCACCAGTTGGACCAGAGGCCCAAAAAAGGACAGGTGAAGGCGCTGGGCGGAGGTCGTTGGTTTTTGGTGTGAAGATAACAAGTCAATAACATCAACAACGACAACGGCAACACCCGCAAAAGGGACGGGGGGGGATCACACCAAACACGCCTCGGTCCTTCTTGCATGTCGTCGGAACTACCCATCCATATCCGTTACATCTTGTGCGACCGAACGAAGTTGGTGGCGGAGGGGAGGCCGGGCGTGATTGCCGGCTGGCAAGATTTGCCATCGTGCTTGCAAGTGCTTGTCTTGCTTGTTGCCTACTTCGCAACTACTGGAGGATGGGTACGACAGGACGCCACCGAAGAGGAGGGTGATGTCGATTAACCTACAGTGGTAAAGTCTCGATCCCACTACAGTATACGCGACGAAGCTTGCCTCGACCTACAGCAGGTCGAATCCGCCATGATATTCTTGTCAACTTTTGTTGTTTGAGGCGGTGTCGTTGTGTCATGATGCGGCATGGTGCGGGACACGCCGGTATTGTTTTGTGGTCCTGGAAATGGTAAGCAAGGTGGGCAGATGCAGCGACGTCGATCGCACACACACCCGATCGATGTAGAGACCATGGACGAGATTGAGATGAAAATCTCATCATGTAGCTACACATTCCCAATCCCTGCGTGGCAAGAGTTATCCCACCAAGAAGGCGATGCCGATTTCGAGCATGCAAACTCGCGATACTTGTTGGTTGGATGTGGGATATAAGGCCGATAGTACCTTTATCGTCGCGGGGTCTACTGTCTAGCAAAATACTTTTGTACCGTTTTCTCCATTATTTTTCTCGTTTTTCGCTGTCGTGAAGACCTCGAGGTTGAGGCTGACGCCTACTCGAAACCAGTCTGACTCGTCACATATTTTCGTGCGATACCAGAGATCGAGTCTACCAAACATGACGTGGTACGCGCAATACGTGTTGCCACAAGCAACAAAAACAGACTAGCGTCCACCCGGTCCCATGTGACAAGGCATGTCCGTGTCGCTTCATTGTGCGATTACAGCCAGAGCCTTGGGAGACAACATCGGCCATGTAGGTTTCGTCAGTTTGGTGTTCAGCACCGCTTCGATATGATATAAAACATCCGCAAACCACGCGTGAATCCTCCATTATTTTTCCTTATTCGCTTCGCTTTTTCGAAGCGGTACTTTAAGAGAACTTCCGGACTGGGCTGTCGATGAGCCCTACAGATAATATCTCATTTTCCCTTATCACACTTCTTACCAATAAGTTTACTAAGTCGAGTCGTCTTTGCAATCCCGCATCATATTTTCTTTCTCCCTTCCCCCCTTCCCCCTGGTTCGCGACATTCGCTTTGCCGCGGCAAACTGCAACCTACCAGCGACCTGTCAGGCACCAGGGTGCAGATAAATTGATTGTGTGTTTTAGGCATCCTCTGTACCAGTACAGATAAATATACGTGGTGCAACACTTACACTCCAAAACACGTGATCCTCGAAACATACAAGCCGCAGACCCCTGTCGCCCCCCCCCCCCCCCCGTCGCCTGTCGAACGTCTTCCCACCCCGTAGTCGACATTATCGAGCCTAAAATTCCCCGGCGGCTACGTTACTGTATTCAGCAATCCGCCTCCGTTTTGCACTGCGATTTTCTTCCCTATTGGCGGGAGGGAAGCAAGCCCGGGGTTTCGGTCTAAAGCGGGCGTGCCTGCGCTCTACGCACTGGACTGTGAAACACCTGTTCGGCAAGCCGTACGTCACGTAAAAAACAAACATAAAACATTCCAACCCATCTATGCTCCTGGCCTGTATCTAGACAACGCCCTAACCTCAGGTGCGGGTAGCTTTTGCTCGTCGCACTGGACGAAGCCGAAACCCCTGTAATAGTTCAGCCTGGGAAACACCCACATTTTCGAAACACGACCGAGCGAAGGTGGAGAGGATGGGTCTCGCTGTAAGCCTGTCATGATGTACCGTACCGTACGCCACCCGTCTGTGATGCCTCCAAACCAACATTTCGCAGATGCCTCGGCCCCACTCCCCGCCTTTGTCCAAGGATACCGTGTCTGTATCAGTCAGACGTCCACCAGTCATGCGTGCTGTGTAGCCACGCCGACAAGTCTTCGTGAGCGGCACCCTCATCGCTACTGCTGCTCTTGTCGTCGTCGCCAACGTCTATCGCATCCGGCACCACCGCCGCCGCCGCCACCTCTTCCCTGGCGTTGCCGTCAGAAGATGCAGCAGAGGCACGGACAGCCGCGTCAAATCCTGGCGCTTTCTTCCCGCCACCCTCCTGCATCAACCTGGCGAGGGTGGAGGAGGTACGGGGAAGGCCCAGCGGCGAAGGAGAAGCCACGCCGAGGTCTCTCGTCGTTCTCTCTACGCCGCAGGTGGCTGCCCTCTTCTGGCCAGCAGCGGTTGTGGCAGCGCCGGTGACGTTGACGGTGGCGTGCCCAACACCGACGCGCCTGAGCCGTCGTGTGAACGGGGCTGCTGCTGATGACAAGGATGCTGTGTCCATGCCGGCCAAGGTTCTTTCGGCTGGTAGCACTGAAGGTGTTCGGGCGGTCCTAGGGGACAAGAAAAATAGTTTTCGAAAGCAGTACTGTTAAGAGTTGTGTTCCTTCGCACAGACAGGTGTCTACGAGATTACGTCTAAATGTTCACACGCTGAAACCCACAGGTTTCAGAAATTCTTTGCTTTGAAAAGGGGGCAAACAGCTGCCGGCGGCCTCTCCACCTGGCACGTAATACGGGCACGAAAAATGGCGCAAAGAACCATGTATGTACAGAACCGCTGCCGCAACGATTAGTCTACAGCAGTACATAACCTATTAAAGACCTCTCTCACCGGGAAAACGATGCCCCCGCCGAGATGGAGCCGCTCCTGCGCTTTCTCGGCCGCAAATGCTCGACGCTTCCCATGCCAGCACCAGGCGGCACCCCGCGAGACCTCGTAGTCCTAATGTGCCCGGTGCAAGCGCCCACGCCAGCCCTCACAACGCCGCCGCCCGGGTTGCCCCTGCCGAGAGCTGACACCGGACACAGCGTCTGAGGAGAGCCGTCCGTATGAGCGCCGAAGCTATCTCGCCGCCATGTGCACCCATGCGGCGTCCGTGGTGCGTCAGCCTGATTCCAACCACCACTGCTGCTGCTACTACCGGCAGCAGCAGCAGCAGCGGGGGAAGCGACTCCTAGACTGCTAACCCCGTCGGCCAAGGAATCCATGTGACCGGCGCTGAGGACTCGCTGGACCCTCAGCCTGTGGTGCCTGGGTTTCTTCGCGCTGCGCCCCGTCTCGTGACTGTCGCTGCTGTATCGCCCTTGCACGTACTCCTGCTGCTCTTCTTCCTGCTGCTGCTGCTGCTGCTGCTGCTGCTGCTGCTGCTGTTTCGTGGCAGCGGTGCCCCCGGACGCCCATTGTACCTGATGTGAAACCATCACCACTTCTTGTCGCGTTGGGTCCATCGCCACGTCTCCGCCCCAAGAGCATGATCGTGTGTTGCCGCCCCCGGGCCCACATCCCCTCCTCGTTCTCTCGTCCGCGCCGGGCGGCAGCGGCGGCGAATGCCCCATGCCCGTTCTCCCGGCAGCCTCAGCGAATGCCCTCGAGGTCCGTGGTCTTGCCTCGAGCGAAGGTTGTGGCGTTCTTGGAGCCTGCCGCGTCGCACCGGCGACGGCGAACTGCTCGAGTCCGGGCAGGCACCGGCGTCGAGACGAAGCTAAAGGGGTTTTCGTCCAATCCATGCGCTTCTCTCCCCCTTCGTATCTCCTCCCGCCGATGATGCTGTTCTGCCCGGCTTCAGGTCGGAAGCTCTTGACGCCAACACTGCTGTCGTCGGAGTTTCGGTAGGCAGGACCTTCCCAGAGCTCATCGTGTGGAAGCAGCATCGTCGTACCTGTTGTGCCTCCGGCAGCACCACCGTTGCCATTACCATCACCGGCGGTGGCCGGCTCGGGCGGAAACACGACCGCGGTCGCGCCGTACTCTGCCCCTCCCGCGAGTGGTTCCCAAGCGAAACGGACCCAGTTGTTTGCCGGCGTGCTGTCCCAGACAAAGCGCGACCCGGGTGGGGTTAGAAAGCCGTCCTGTCCCGCCCAAGCAACAGGGGCAGCAGCGGCAGCAGCACCGCGTGCCGCCGGCATATCTGTAAGAGCTGGCCAGCTGGTACCAAATGTTTGCCCGTGGCGATGCTCCTTGTTGACCTGGCGTGTCCCTCTCGCTCGTGATGTCGACGGCCGTGGTGCTAGCTCGTTGGCCGCGAAAGCCGAGGCATTGCCGCACGGACCGGGCAGCAAGTGCACCGCGTTCACCCCTCTGGTCGAGCGGTGCTGCTGTGGGCACGGCTGCCTGCCTCCTTCAGCAGAGCGCTCTTCTGCTACTGCAGTGGCGTGGTCGAAGACGGGCTCGGGAAGGGATGGTGTGTCGGTGGTGGTGGTGTTGCTCATGAAGCCGATTGACATCCTGATCTCCGTGCGAGAGGGCAAACGCTCCGCCATTCTTCCGCGAGAGGGCGATCTGCCTGATGTCGCCGGTCGTCACCAGGCGATGTTAGCTGTTGTCTTTACATCACCTACATGGTCCGAGGCTTGGAAGCTGCTGCTCCTGACATGGCGGTGTGGTGCATTTGCTCACTAGGAACGTCCCGGTGGTGAGCACCTTTTCCACCGAATAGCTTCTGTGCACATGATGACCCTTTCCCTCTCATGTCGAAATGAAACGGCTAATGATGACATGATCCGGCGCGCAAGCGGGGGTCAGAGAAAGGGACTGAACCCGCCAAACGAGAGAAAGGGGAGTAGGAAAAAGAATTGGCGGGGTCTCTCGGCGCTGGCACTGGCCACGGCTCCTTGCTCTTGACAGAGTTGATGCTGCTTGCTGCTGTGCAGTGCACATCCCACCCAGCCAAACGCAAAGGGTCATGGAGGTGCGATGGAGGCTGTTCGCTCGAGACGTGCTCTCCCTATTCCCCGACGACGCAGGCGAGTTTCGTTTCGGCAGACCACTTCGGCCCGTTCGAGGCTTGAGACTGCTCGGCATCGTCGTGCACAGAGCGAGAGCAGATAGTAGTCGGCTGCGAGCTGCGGACAGCTGCAGTTCGGGAGGGCAGAAGCGGGCGAGAGGGGGAAGGGTTCATGGCAGTGGTGGCGAACGTGCCAGTGACGACAGTGCAACGAATGGGGAGTTTGGCCTGCTAGGAATTGGTAAGTGGGGTTGGATATGCAGCTACTCTGTTGCGGTATGGACTGCAGCTGTAATAATGAGTCCGCGAAGGGCGCAATTGTTGTGTCTTTCGTTCACCGACGCGAATCACGGCAGGTCTGCTGCTGTACGCCGTATTGCACCCAACACTGGTGGTATCTGCGAGCGTTAGAGCACACACATGTTGCATCTTCAGTAAACGAGGATGTCACATCTCTCAAAACATCCCAAGAATTCAAGATCAAAATTCAAAATTGAACATGTTTCCGTTGGACCACCCGGCGAGGGAACTACCGTCGGTTGCATGACATATCATACCCCCTGGACCGATTTTCAAAGCTCGACCACTCCGCGACAAAGAGGATACCGAAACTAAATGATGCGTTTTCGGAGAGCTTTCGACGAGACAGTTCCAACGCCTAACGCCATGTTCGGCACCGTCACTGCCTGTGCTGCCGAGGTACAAGTACATGTCGAGTTTCGAAAATCGGTCCAGGAGGTGTGATATCTTACGCAACCTACGGTATGTACCTGGGTACCTGCCGCTGAACACCACGCCCCCCCCCATAGGCCCGTAGGGTGGATTTGTCGAAATGCCCCAAGCTCGCCAAATCTACAGCACGGCGGGGTTGGATGCTGCGTTGGAAACATGAACACGTCGTGCAGTTTCTACCAGAGGAAAAAATCGTGCTCTGAGACGAGAATTGATATCACCTCCATTGCCGTTCCTGCCGAGGGAGGCATCGAACATACAAATCGACCCTTCCATCCGTTCTTGCGGAAGGAGGCATCGGACATGCAAATTGACCCTTCCATTGTGTTATAGACTACAGGGACTACACCCCCAACGATTCCTGAGAATCAATGGATCTACTCGCCCTTGCCCTCGCATCTCTCGGCGGCAGTACTGCTGTAGCTTCTCTAAGCGGTAGTAGGGCTACCTCGTTCGCAGCCTATCGAGGTGACACAAGACGTCACACTCCCCGGAGTGATTTTCAGAGCTCGATTTATGCGCGGCAGAAAAGTGGCGGCGGTGAAAATGGCGGCATTAGAACCGGCTCGCCGAAAACGCATCGTTTGACAAGACATCATCTTCGTCGTGAAGTAAGCGAGCTTTGAAATTGGTCCAAGAGGTGTGATACCTTCTGTCACGTACGGTCGTTTGTGCTCCGAGCGCTGCGCAACCGTGTACCACCTCAAAGCTGCGTAGGGCTGGGCGGTGCCCGTACAGGCGTTACATTCACCTTTGCGCTTGTCCACTGCGCGTCGTGTTGCTGATAGCAGATGACGGCACTGGCGTCGTGGAAGTACGACTGCCACTTCGGCTCTGGCATACGGTCGCTCTTTGGGAACAGGTAAACATACCGTAATGAAAGAAAAAATCCTGTGACACCCTGGCTGGTGCCTCCACACGTCCACACACATGGGAGCGTTTCTGCTTTCAACCGTACGGAGACTGACGTATTTTCATGGGTCAGCCGGTCAGCGCGGTCGATGCTTATTATACAACCACCCGGAAAGTAGCCTCATGTGCAGAGGTGATGGATAGACAAAGACACACGGATACACACAACGGGTAATACCGCCGGCACACGCACAGTTGAAGCATCGTGCAGGCGCATGGCCCGAAACCGCCGGTAGGAGACTATTGTGAGATCTCGAGGGCGCCCTTGCTTATTCCCGAGACGCTTCTCTCGCTCCTCTCCTCGCCCCTCCTTCGGGGGGAGGGAGGAGGGGGGCACCCCAGGAGCCCTCTGCCTGCACAACATAATTACATCCGACACGCCGCCATCGTGGTCTCCCTCGCCCCCGCCCCCCGCCTCTCTCCCTCCCTCTTGCTGTTGGTGGTTTGTGGTTCCGAGCAGCTAGACATCGTGGGTACCCCCGAGAGGCTCCAGGGGTCGTTAGCGTTAGCGTTAGCCTCCAAGACATCGAACACACTGGACGTCACTGGCATCAGGGCCGACGGCTGCCACGTCGAGGCAGACCCGAACGTGGCTTGCCTCAGGGCGCTGGAGTGCATCGATCGGTGAGACCCGTGCACTGCTGTTTACACGCGGTGCCTCTGTGTAGGTGTGTAGCTGGCAAGAATTCCG